AAATTGCGCGTTGTGGGAGGGTCTCGTGAAGGGGAATTCACCACAGAAGTAAAAGATGAGGGTGACTACCGAGAGGGCACAAAGTAAGCTAAGAAGCACTGTGAGCCACTCAGATGTAAACTGCCCCCACATGTAAAGGTGTATCAGATCCAAATGTCTTGTGCTCAGTGAGGGAGTTCTGGAGGCTGTGACCCCTTCAGCCATATTCTCACACGGTGTCTCCAGGACAGGCAACAGGGTGACCCGAAGCCTGGGCTCTGAGTTCGGGGCGGATCAGCCTTTATGTGAACTCACCGGGACGAGCCGAGAGGGGGGAGGTTCCAACGTGGGCTTCAGGACCACGTGGCAGAGTGTGCCTCCCTGATCTAACAAACTAGTCCAACAATAAAGATGACAGACAGGGTGGAGGGGACAGAGAAGGGGGCTACTCGATCACTCTCAAGCAGCCGAAGAAACAGACAAATCCAGGGGCCTACTTACTGAATGAACCGAGGTTCTGGGTGTCGCCAACACCGTGGGCAGGTGTCCCTGTTTGGGCGCTACGTGTCGCAGGTTCTCCTCAGGCCAGCTGTGAAGACCCTGACCTGGATCGGGTCCCCTGCTGATTAGGGGGATGGGGGCAAGAGGCGTGGAGTCAGCACACAGACACCGGGAGTCAGGTGGAAGCAAGCACTAGGCAAGGTGCTGCAGGCTCGTTTAATGCAGGAGGGGCAAGCCTTATATTTCCCCTTTCTCTGCCCCCAAGTCCCTTTAATCAGCATATCATTTTCTGATTAGTCCACGCCACACAGTCTGTTAGCAGTCACTGGGCTTGCGAGCAGGGTATGGAGGTGCAGGCTCCTTTTGGCGGGCTATTTGCAGATCAGGAAGTGAAGTGAATTCTCGCTGAATCCTTGTGTCTTAGTTTGTTTCTTCATTGCTATGACAAAATACTCTGATCAATACCAATTTGGGGAGGAAAGGGTTTATTTGTCTTACATCTCCCAGGTCACGGTTCATCAGGGAGCCCAAGGTAGGAACTCAGGCCAGGAACCTGGAGGCAGGAGCTGGAACACAGGCCATGTAGGAACACTGCTTACTGTCTTGCTCCCCTGGCCCCTGCTCAGCCTTCTTTTTTATGCAACATAGGCCCACCTGCCCAGGGTTGGCACCACCACAGTGGGCTGAGCCCTCCCACATCACTCATCAAGAAGATGCCCCTCACACATGGCCACAGGCCAGTCCAATAGAGGCTCCCTTGACACACAAATGTCACTAATTAAACCATAACTTTCCAATTTCTGTCCCCAAGATATGATGTTACTATCACAACCTAAGACAGTACAACCTTAAAAACCCCACAGTCCTTAAAAAAAATCCAAATACTTTAAAGTCCATAGTCTTTTAAAAGTCTCAACTGTGGGTGGGCTTCTGTAAAATCCAAAACAAGTACTGTCTTATTTCAAAGGGAAGAATCGGGCACACAACTGTGGGTGGGCTTCTATAAAATCCAAAACAAGTACTGTCTTATTTCAAAGGGAGGAATTGGGCACACCTAAGCAAAACCTAAGTCCAGCAAATTAGCTCAAGGCTGGACATCTGGGATTCACTCATGATCCTCTGGGCTCCAAAGGGTACTGGCAGCTCCACTGCTCTAACTCTGCAGTCCACAGCACACTCAGCTCATCTCACAGATGCAGGCAAGCTCCATTCCACACCTGCCGCTGTCCTTGGTGATTGTCCCATGGTCCCGGCATCTCCAAAAAGCTGGGGTCTCCACTGAAACTGAGGCTACACCTTCACCAATGGCCTCTTCTTGCCTCTTGGGGTGCAAAGCCTCAGATTCTCTCCATGACACCCCTTCAATCCTGGGGTCTTCACTGCAACTGAAGCAGCACTTTCACCTATGGCCTTTCCTGGCCTCTCAGAGTGCCAAGCCTCAGCTGCTCTCTGTGACCCATTCATGCTTTCAACACCAGAGCCATGCAGGAGACTCTTACACATTACCAAGTCCTGCTTGCAGCTTAAAATAGAGGTGCGGGTCCTCTCTGTGTGCTGACCCTGAGGAAATACCTCCCAGAAGACTCCACCACAGTGATGCTGGTCTCTTGTTACTTACAGCTGATTTTTCAGCCCCAGCTAACCAGCATCAGTTGTCCCATTAAAGCAAAGGTTTTTCTTCAGGTTCTGGTCTCTTCTTAATCACAGCTGATTCTTCAGCCCCAGCCGACCAGAACCCACAGAGTCTCAATCCACCATCTCACGTGAACAACCCTGATAGTCTCCGCTTCCCTTTAAAGCTGCACAAGCCAGGCCTCCATCGTCTACAATTCTTTCAGCATAACTGTTCCAAGCTCCACTGCAACAAACTCTGAGCACGCAATGGCTTTTCCAGCCCAAAGTTCCAAACACTTCCACAGTCCTCCCAAAAACACCAAGGTCAGGTCTGTCACAGCAACATCCCACTCTCTGGTACCAATTTCTGTCCTGGTTTGTTTCTTCATTGCTGTGACAAAACACTCTGACCAATACCAACTTGGGGAGGAAAGGGTTTATTCAGCTTACATCTCCCAGGCCGCAGTTCATCAGGGAGCCCAAGGTAGGAACTCAAGGCAGGAACCTGGAGGCAGGAGCTAGAACACTGGCCATGGAGGAACACTGCTTACTGGCTTGCTCCCCTGGCCCCTGCTCATCCTTTCTTATGCAACATAGGCCCACCTGCCCAGGGGTGGTACCACCCACAGAGGCCTGGGCCCTCCCACATCACTCATCAAGAAGATGCTCCTCAGACATGGCCACAGGCCAGTCCAATAGAGGCTCCCTCAACCCAGGTGTGTCAAGTTGACACTAAAGCTATCCAGCATACCCAGGGCTCTGGGTCCGTGCCATCTTTGGAGGCCTCTTGCTACACCATACTATTCAAAATTTTGTCTTTGTGTATTATGACTACAAATAAGAGTTCAGATAGCAACCATAACCATTATCTGTATTTAATATATTCTTAAATGCCCTTGTGCACCCCACACACAAAATAAATAAATGAATAATGTGGGACCTTGGTTATAATATATTGTGCTTTATCCATTAAACAGACTATGAAAACAATTACTACTTTTTTTATTTCTCTTTTGAAATGGATCTCCCTGTAGTCCCAGCTGGCTGTAAGGCTGTGTAGACTAAGCTGGCCTGGATCTTTGCCTGCCTCTGCTTCCCAAGTGCTGGATTTAAAGATGTGTACCACAAAGCCCATCTGAAAACAATTTTAAATAAAACATTTAATAGTGAAAATTAAATGCTAAAGAAATTTGTTCCTCTCAAGCTTTAATGTATTTTATGTCATCCTCTCCTATTAAACAATATTTTTCCCCCTTTTAACCTGTTAAACTTTAAGTCCCTAAAGGTACTATTTTTATTGTATTATTTCATTGACATAAACAGTATGATAGAATTACAAGTTTCCTTTTTATTGAATTTTTTGTTTTCATACAATATAGCTTAATTATATAAAGACATCCCTCCTCTTTCTGCACTCTTCCCATAGCACCCCCCCACACCAGATTTCATGCATTCTGTCATATATGTTAAGGCCTAGTGAGTCAAGCTTGTGTCCCCAGATGTCCCTTGGTGTGAGTTCATCCACTGGAGCCTGGTCAGCCTATCTAGTGTCACTCTCTTAAAGAACACCAGCTCTCTTCACCCAACAGTGATCAGTTTCCAACAGTTCCTCAGCTAAGACTGGGACTTCTTACCCATTTCCCCAGTTCTATGCTGGGTTTTTGTCTGGTTTGTGTTTACATGGGTCTTGTGCATGGTGAATTCATATGAGCAAGTTCCCAGCCACCTGGAAAACTTTATCCTTGTGATCATCCACCACCCCTGTCTCTTACACTCTTTCCACTCCCTCTTCCACAATAAGCCCTGAACCCTGGGTGACAGAGATTTAATATAGGAGTCCTATCCAGGGACACATTATCTGCAGTCTCTTATTCTCTACCCTTTGGCCAGTTGTGGCTTTCTGTGTTCATCACCATCTGTTGCGTGAAGAAGTACTGGTGAGAGTTGAGAGATGCATTAATATTCTTTCTGACCCCTGTTGTGTGGTCCACAAGCCCTAGGTTTAGAGGTTCCATTGTAGATCTGTCACTTAAGGCTGGGCATCTCACAAACACTTATTCTCTGTGTTTGACCAGTTGTGGAACTCTGTAATAGTCTCCATCTGTTGCAAAAATAAGCTTCTTCGGGAGGCAGAAGCATGTGGATCTCTGTGAGTTTGAGGCCAGCCTGTTCTACATAGTAAGTTCCAGGCGAGCTGGAGCTACTGGAATACCCTGTCTCTAAAAAGACAAATAAATAAGCAAGCAAGCAAGCTTCTTTGATGAGTAGTGAGGGGTATACTTCTCTGTAAATGTAAGGATCCTTAGCATACAGTAAGAAATTACATTTGTCTAGGATGTGACAGATGTAGCATTTTTTCTAGATCTATATGACCTCTCCAGCCATGTGTATTTGGCTGTGTTTACAGTACCACACGTGGATTCCCTTCCATTGAACATGTTTTAAATCCAATTAGATAGCTGTTGATTACCCCCAAGATAAAAGTGCCATTACTGCACCAGTAAAGATCATTTGCTGTGGCAGCATTGTTGTGGTTATTAGGCTTTACAGTTGGGTTGAACCATTGCTTGATTTCCTCCCTTAGTAGCTTACATATTATTCTCTGATACTATGAGATGTACTGTCTTTGTCTTTTTAATAAAACCAAATCCATATTTTAAGAGTCTTTCGTATCTTTGATCCACTTTTAATTTAACCTACATGAACTTCTGAATTTCATTAGTAAACTTTAACATATTCATTTATGTATGTACTATGTAGTCTCATGAAATCCCCTTATCTTTTGAGACTTAAAGTTTTAATAAGTTAATTAATATCGAAGGAAAGACTTTATTTTCTTTTGATAGAAAAACTAAATTTCAAAATTGCCTTTCCTTTGTTACTTATTTTGCTTCCGTTTGTTATAGTGACACGATTCCCTCGACCTATCTCACCTCTACAAGATGTGTCTACTATTATTGGCAGTCGTGAGCAATTGGCAGTGCTGCTACAACTTTATGATTACCAGCTAGAGCACGAGGGTACAACAGGCTGGGAGAGTTTGCTATGGGTTGTCAATCAATTGTAAGTTACCCCCTCCGTATGCATTTTGTATACCTAAATTAGTTCAATGAAAAATTGCTCATATTTAGGCATGGACCTGTGAGAAAGCTACTAAAATGATGTTAATTAGTGGAAGAAACATAAACTAGCATCATCAAAAATAAATCTTGTTAGGAGACACTTACTCCCACTGAGTAATAGTCTGTGAAGAATTGCCACTTTGTTATGTCAGAAGGACGTCTGCTGTCTAATTTGTGTGGTAACAGTGATGGATTTCAAACTATTTCGTAACTTATTTTTGAGTCTAAAATGGATGCTATGATCACTGTGTGTTGTAATACATCAGATCCATCATTTTGAATCTCATTAACTTAATATGCAGAACTCAACCATTAAGGTTCCATATATTTTATGACAGTTAAAATTGATGTTTGAAAGTTTATATAGTAGAATATAATCTTAAGCCTATTTCAGAGGTTCCAAAACCAGTTCATTTGCTTACAAAGACTGGATTTGTATTGCTTAAGAAATTAGCAAGTAAAAGTAATTTGTATGTATCCCTGACAATTTTTCTTTCCTTCATATTCAGGTTGCCACAACTTATAGAAATAGTTGGCAAAATTAATGTAACTTCAACTGCCTGTGTCCATGAATTCTCCAGATTTTTCTGGCGTCTTTGCCGGACGTTTGGCAAAATTTTTACAAACACTAAGGTAAATATTGAATTCCATGTTTTCTTATATGCAAAAGATGTAAAACAGTAATGTGTTGATGTTATAACAGAAAATTAAAACGTGAGCCCCCTTTATCTTTTATCTTTCATACCTTAGAATGTTTAAACAGTTGAATTCTAGTTGGTAATTTTCATTTGTTGATTTTCAGAAGATGACTTAACCAAAACTTAGTTTAGACCAAGATTTGGACGTAAGACTTAGGCACTATAGATTTATCAGAGGTATTCACCAAAGATGTATCAGGTAGAGAACTCATCCCAAGCCTTTGAATTATAATCTAGCACTTTGCTGCATACCACAGAGCTTGGAAAAAATTGACTATGTGGGATTCTTTAATGAAAGCCTGAGGTATTTGTTGAACCACAGCACTTATAAAATTTGCTTCAAGGATTCCACCTCTTAGAAATAGTATGGACACTTAAAAGCATATTTCAGTCATTATCAAAAGTGTAATTTGTCTCACATTGGCCTGCATAGGTTATTTTATAGTTTAGGTATTAATATTTGAGTGTCCTTGAATCCCACTTTCTTCTTTAATTTTACTAATCCATCTATAAGCTAGTTTCTTAGAGAACTAGTAGAAACATTTTAAAAGTGTTTACCATAATCAAGTTGTAATCAAAATATTCAAATGGTAAACACTTTAACAATCTGTTCTTTACTATTAAATCTAGTTATTGAATCATTTAAACAAAGAAAATGTTGTAGTGATGTAGTCCTGCTGATATCTCTAAACTTCAATAATAAATTAAATAACCTAGTCCTGTGAAATGAAAAAATTGCTTCAGTCCTTAAGGTCTCTGATTCATTAATCTCTTAACAGTACTCTTCCTTCTAGCTTAAGTTGAATATGTAAATTAATATGCCTGACTTACCTATAAGAAAACAAAAACTGAAATTTGATACTAATGTAAGCAAGGCAAGGCCTTTTTACCTTTATTAGTAGCATCTAATTGTTAAGCAAATGCACCTTGATTTTATTGTTATCAGGTGTGGTGGCACACACCTTTAATCACAGCACTTGGGAGGCATAGGCAGGTGAATCTCTGACAGTTCAAGGCTGGCCTGATCTACATAGTGAGTTCCAGGCCAGCTGGGGCTACAGGGAGATCCT